AAGTGCCGTAAAAGAGAGAGCACCGTTATATGATTTTCGCATACCTGATCTTATTCCCATCATCAATGACAATCCTACGTCACTGTCTCCAGTCTCTCCGGCGTCGTCGAAATCAAAAATTACAAATTTCAGCGTTTATTGTGTGCAACTTTTATATTAGCCAATGAATGATTAATTTATATACTTCTTTGTTGCAGAGAGAAAGCGAATTGATTTAGAGGATTATGAAGAAGTTTATAAAGATGAGTATGACGGTATATCAGAGTCTCCAATCCTTACCAATATTGTAGAAAATAAATCCAAAAAAAGGATTAGATTTATAAGAAAAATGTTATTAATAAATAAGATAAACGAATGGAAAAATTTACAATTAAGTTGGCTCAAAGAAATACGAAGAAGACAATTGCTTAAACTATTCTTACTGTATCAATTCTTAAAAAAAAAAGAAAAGAAGAAAGAAGACGAACCAAAACTTTGGGTTCGATCAATATTTACTGAAGAAAGAAGACATCGTCAAGGAGACAGCAACAATTTAATTAATGAAATGGCAAATAATGATTCCTTGAAATATTTGAAATATTTGCGGATGAGTAAAGAATCCTTTGACAAATTATTAGAGTTACTTGAGTCGAGAATCACAAAACAACATGTTGTAAGAACTCCAATATCGCCGTCTATGCGACTACAAATCTGTCTACGCTATTTAGCCTCAGGTGACACAATGCATTCGATTTCTTTCGCCTTTCGAGTTGGATTGAATACAATTTCAAAAATAGTAGCAGAAACTTGTGAAGCTATTTGAGACGTTTTGAAAGAAAAAGTTTTTCCTGAAATAACAGAAGATTTGTGGATAGAAAAAGCAAAGGAATTTGAACTTTTGCGGGATTTTCCTAATTGTATTGGAGCAATTGATGGAAAACACATGCAAATACAAGTAATGTGTCTTATATTTGTATATTATAATATAAAGTATTTCCTTGCTTCTGTAACTTATTTTTAACTTTATATTTTAGGCTCCACCTAAAAGTGGCTCAACATTTTATAATTACAAAAATATGCACAGTATTGTATTTATGGCACTTGCGGATGCCAATTGCTGTTTTACAGCAGTTGATATTGGAGCTGAAGGAAGACGGAGTGACGGAGGCATATTCCAAGATAGTGTACTCAGACATCTATTAGAAGAAAAACGTTTAAATATACCAAGAGCGAGGTTAATTTCAGACAAAGGTCCTGAGTTACCTTATGTTATAATAGGTGATAAAGCTTTTGGATTAACTAATTATATGTTACGCCCATATCCACGACAAAATAATTTAAACATAGAAAAGAAAGTATTTAACTATCGACTAAGTCGTGCTCGAAGAACGGTGGAATGCGCTTTTGGCATTTTAGCTTCGAGATGGAGAATTTTTCGGAGACCTATAGCAACATCTGTTTTGAATGCTATATCTATTGTTAAAGCTACAGTTTGTTTGCATAATTTTTTAATGATAAATGACTTTACACTTCCTAAAATAAATAGAACATATGCTGTAAACATTCATGTAAGGGATACATATGAACATTTTCAAAACTTACCAATTCCTACGACTAGAGATGATACGTTACGTGGAAGTACTATTCGCGATCTGTTTACGGAATATTTTTGCACTTTTGGAGCTGTTAAGCAACAATGGGAAAAAGCTAACAAAAATAATTTTTAAAAGTTTAATGAATATAATAAACAAGTGCAATTTCTTTGTAAAATATGTTCTTTTTCGTAAAACTTATCCCCTTTTATCCATATATCCTGTCTTACTAACAATACATCTTACAACAGTACTGTCAGTGCTGTATCAGATAAATAAACATAGCTTGCCAAAGAATATAATAAAAGGAATAAAAATATTAAGCAGTAACTATATATATATAAAGTAAACTTTATTATATTTAAACTCTTTGTTATATGTATAAACTTCCATTTTATTATATATTATATAAAATATTTAAACTTTCACTTTATTATAACATCTACTTTATAATATAACTTTAAATAAACAAAACATTTTTCTAATAATACTGATGCTAGATAAACAAAATGAAACAGAACAATACTGTACATACAAGAAAAATCAAAACTAATCAAACATTGCAGTTTATTTGTTACAGTACAAACAATACTGTAACAAATAGATGTTTTAACAAAATACTGACAATAAAAACTAAAAAAAAATATTGCATAAAATGCACAATATATCTGCATCTGCATTGCATCAATCTTTGTTATACTATAAAGATCAGTCTTCTTAATATATTTCTTTATCACGTTCTCTTATTAGGTATGCTTGTACTTTTCATCTTCTTCTTCAACTTCATATAATCTTGTTAAAAATTCTATTTCTAACTTACAACGTGATTTATAAGTTAGTCTATGTAAACCTTCTGCCAAACGTGACACAAATCCATGTATAGGATTTGATTCTGTTTTCTGTGTTAAATTTGTAATAAAAGCTTCTTTATAATCCTCTAAATCAATTCGCTTTCTCTCTGCAACAAAGAAGTATATAAATTAATCATTCATTGGCTAATATAAAAGTTGCACATAATAAACGTTAAAATTTGTACCTTTTGATTTTGATGACGCCGAAGAGACTGGAGACAGTGACGTAGGATTATCATTGATGATAGGAATAAGATCATCATCTACGTTGAGGTTGTCACTTGTTGATGTGGAAGGAATGCTGTTGCTCTTTGAACAGGACGCTTGTTGCTCGTCATGCATTAATTTTTGTAAAGAAGTTACGGTTCTAGAATAAGCATTAGGACGTTACTACAACATATAATAATTATCAGCTAAACTATCGCTATTCTTGAACTTACTGTCGATATTCCAATGTATCACTTAAGAAAGACATTACATCATAATGACGAAAGGATGGTTTTATTTCGTAGTTTTTTGGTAAAGCAGCTGCACCACTTTTTTGCACAATGTTTTGCTTTTTTTTATACATATTTCTTGCCTTTCTATAACAATCTTTAAGATAGGTCCATCGTTTTTCTGCTTCAGTAGCGGTATATAAACCTGTGACACACGTGTAATTAAGAAATATATATATGTATATATGTATCGTGTGTGTGTGTGTGTGTGTGTGTGTGTGTGTGTAGAAAACCTTGAAAATAAGTAAATATGTAAATAAATATCAATGCTTTTAAACCTTTCAAACATTTGCTGACTTCTTGCCATAGGCAGTCCTTTTGTTTCCTTTTTCGTTCTTTCACAGGTATGCGAAAATCATATAACGGTGCTCTCTCTTTTACGGCACTT